TCCGCGTTGTACAGACGATGACGGACCAGCGTGGTGAGGGTGGCAGGCTTCCAGGGTCCAGGAGGACGCGGTTGGTGGTGGGTGAGCCCTGGGCAGTGGGTATGGTAACTTGCGTGGCTCGGCGGGTGGCCCGCAGCAGCTCCTGGCTCTTCAGCCGCATGCCGTTGTCCAGCCTCACTCCGTCCGGCTCCACTTCCGCCACGGCCACAAAGACGCCCTTGGGTATCTTTCCGCCGGCTCCGATGAGGCGCAGCCCCGGCCAAACCCTCATGCTCTGCGGGCTGTTTTGGGGTGTTGCAGTTTGGCAATATTCATGTGGTACCTGTGTTACCGTTTCGTGGCACCCCAAATCTATGTGGATGACGTGTGTCTCCAGCTCTAGGAGCTTTGAGGCCTCCGGCGCCAGGGCCCGGTCGCCGCTGCGTTCACGGCCATGCGCTTGCTGTGGCTGATGACCAGCGTGGTGTCCGGCCACCCGGGCTTGGAGGGGTAGAGCTCCTTCAGCCTCGCCTTGGCCTGCTCCAGCGTGGGGCACGCCTCCTCGCCGACCCGCAGCCACTTCACGAAGTCGAAGATGCCGGGGTCGGAGCGCATGTTCTCCGTGAGCTCGTGCCTGTGCCGCCGGCCAGGTCGCGGATGAGCTGGCTGTGCTCCAACGGCGCGCTGATGGGCCGCCCGGCCCAGGAGTCCAGCACGGCCGGCAGCTGCCGGAAGTATCCCAGCAGCAGGAACTTCACGTCGGCGTTCAGCCCCACGCAGGCCAGGTCCGCCCAGAGCGCCATGTCCAGCTGCGTGATCTCCTCCACCACCAGCCAGTCCTGCTTTTGCGCGCTGCCGCCGCGCACGTACCTGCGCACCCAGTGGTCGGCCGTCTGCGCCCCCAGGCCCAGGTTCTGCGCGGAGCAGTGCGTCTTGGACACCAGGTGCACCGCTTCGCCCTGCTCTCGCAGCCTCGCAACACTGGTCCGTGCCAGGTGCGTCTTCCCGGTGCCCGGCAGGCCCGTGAGCAGCAGGGAGTTGCCCGCCAGGCAGTGGTTCACGGGGTCGTCCACCCCGTTCCACCTCCGTGGTTTGGGGCGCTCCGCCTCCATGCGCGGCGCCCTGCCGCTGAGCAACGGCTTCGTCTCTTCCACGCGGTAGACCGGCGTGCCGTCCGGGTGGCGCAGCGCCTCCAGCGCCCGCAGCCGCTCCGCGTAGCGCTTCGGCAGCCGCTGCGTCAGCAGGCAGTCCGTCTTCACCTGCGCGAGGTACCGCGGCGGCGCGTCCAGGATGCGCCGGGCCTTGGCCACCATGCAGTGCTCGAAGCCGAGGTCCGCGTCGTGGATGGGGCGGTAGGTGCCGTTGCTCAGCAGCCTCCTGGCGTAGACGAAGTCCCACACCATGCCCCCCTCGTAGGCGAAGGCCTGAGAGAAGTCCGCGCCCGCGCCGGCCAGCTCGCTGCTGCTGCTGCGCACGCTGTACACCACCTCCGTGCTGCGCGCCCACAGGCCTATCATCGCGTTCACGCTGAGCTTGGCCATGTGCTCCTCGCCTTCGGGCCACGCGGCGTCCATGCGCTCCAGCGCGCGCCGCAGCGTCGCCGCGTCCTCGTGGCTCCGCGCGGAGATGCCCAACACGATGTGGTCCCAGCGGCAGACGCCCAGGTCCAGCATCGCGGCCAGCGAAACCTTCGGGTACCAGCCGGGCCCCACGTACGGCAACAGGTTCAGGCAGGACTGCCTCGCGTCGCAGCAGCCCTCCACAAAGCCCAGGTCCGGCAGCGCGCCGTCCACGGGCTCAACGCCGTCCGCCGGGCACAGGATGGGCTGGGGGAAGGGGGCGTTGGCCAGCCCGTTGCGCCTGCAGCGCACCACGTCCACGCCGACGTACGTGCTGTCCTTTGCGCACGTCTGCGCCTCAAAAACCAGAGGAGGCAGCTTGGGGCTCCGGACGTACTCCATGACGCCGGGGGCCACGCGGCTCTCCAAACTCGTGGGCTGCGCGCTCTCCCTCAGCGTCTTCTCGCTGTGGCAGACGCCGCACAGCGCCTGCAAAGTTTGCACGCTGCCCGCAAAGGCCTGCCTCACCGGCACCACGTGGTCCAGCTCGCAGCCGGCCGTCAGCCCGCAGCCGCACAGCGCGCACTTGCCGTCCTGCGCGGCCAGGGTCTTCTGCCTCTCCGCCGCGCCGGGCACTTCCCGCTTCGCCTTCAGCAGCTTCAAAAAAATCTCGTGCGCCAAGCCGGCCTGGCGCTGGCCCCGGTACTCCTGGTTGAGCGCCTCGCACCACCTCCGCAGCACCTCGTGCTCCTCCGGCAGCTCTCGGATCCTGGTGCCCCGCCTCAGCCTCAGCCCGCAGTACTGCGCCGGGCTGCAGATGGCCACCTTGGGGCTCTCGCCGGCGGCCATGAGCTGGCGCCGCGCCTCCCGCAGGTCCTCGCACCAGAACAGGCCCGGCTGCACGTCCGCGGCGTCGAAGCGCCTCCACTCTTGGATGGGCGGCAGGGTCTGCCTCGCCTCGCCCCGGTACAGCACGCGCGCCGCCCTCTCCAGCACCCTCTTCACGGCCCTGTACATGTAGCAGTGCCCGTCGAAGGCCAAAAAACAAACGGTGCGGTGCTCCTTCAGCGCCGGATCGTAGCTGTCCACCAGGTCGCCCTGCGAGCTCAGCACGCGCATGGGCGCGTTGCGCCACACGCAGAACTCTCGCACCTCCTCGGCGGAGATGCCGAGGCGCCTCCAGTCGTGGCGCAGCATGGCGTCGAAGTCCGCGCACACCTCCTCCACGCTCCGCTGCAGCAGCTCGGCCAGCTGCCGGGGCACGCAGAGCGGCTTGTCCTCGAAGGCGCTCTGCAGCACGTCCTCCTCGCAGGGCAGCTGGAAGCTCACGCTCCTCAGGCCCCTCATGCGCTGGCGCAGGAGCGTCTCCACCTCGGTCCTGGAGTTCCTGTAGTGCGTGCTCGGGGTGCTGACCACCCAGTGCCCCTCAGGGTCGAGGAAGTAGGTCTCGTCCGAGAGCTGCAGGATGGGGCCGCCCGGGTCCAGCAAGGCCTCCACCTGCTGCCTGACCCGCTGCGCCACCTGCTCCTCCGTGAGGTGCGCCGGGTGCCTCGTGGCCCCGCCCAGCTCATTCACCGGCAGCCAGTCCCTGCGCTCGTAGCCCGCGCCGGCGTTCCGCCCGCTGCGCCGCCTGCCCCGGATGATCACCGGCACGTGGACCAGGTACTCGTAGTCTTGTCGCGGAAGAAGCCCTTGCCCAGCTTGGTCAGCCGGTGCTCTCCGCCCTGCAGGGAGCGCACGAGCTTCTTCTGCCCGTTGCGCAGCAGGATGTAGTCGTTGGGGCCCTCGCGGATGAGGGGCTGGTTGTAGTCGAAGTCCTTGCTGGGGGGCCGCAGGCCCAGGTGGGAGTAGTAGTGCTGCCCCGCCCGGGTCAGCTGCCCGTCCGCGCGCGAGAGCAGCGCGTAGGCCCCCGGGCCGCGCCGCAGGTTCAGCACGACGGCACCATCCGCCCCCGTGCGAGCCCGGGCGCCGCCGTCCGCGGCCTCCGTGATCTGCTGTCGTTGTCTCGCCCAACTTGCCATTCTTTTTTTACGGGGCCAGTTTTTTTTGCTCGGCCGCGCATCCTCCCCGATCATACGTGCAGGTATGGCCGGGGAGCTTGTTTCGCACGGGTTTGCGCTGAAAAATGCTATTACTGCAGGGTGTACATGTATGTACGGGCCGGAGTAATAGCTCGTTTTGCACGTTTTTTTTCGCATTGCTTGATTTTGGCATGACATGATTTTGCATGTTTTTGTTTTTGGCGCGGCATTCCCCCCCCCCCCAGCATCACCAGCTTCAGGGCGTGAAAACGAGGCGTTTTTTTCCACACCCCTCTTGCAACAGCCAGCCGAAGATGAGGGGGGCCTGACCAGAGGGTGTTTGCGCCATGTTTGAACTTCTCTTTGCTCGATTTTACATGTTCTTCGTGATTTGTGGGAGCGCTTGTTGACGACTGTCCGCACTCCCTCCCTTTTTTTTTGCCCGATTTTTGCATGTTTTTGTTTGTTTTGAGATTGCACCCCTTTTGCACCCCTCTTGCACCCCTTTTGCACCCCTGTTGCACCCCTCTTGCACCCTTCAGCCGGTTGACTTTTTGCTAGTTTTTTTACATGATCTGGGAGCGCTTGTTGACGACTGTCCGCACTCCCTCCCTTTTTTTTGCCCGATTTTTGCATGTTTTTGTATGTTTTGAGATTGCACCCCTTTTGCACCCCTCTTGCACCCCTTTTGCACCCCTGTTGCACCCCTCTTGCACCCTTCAGCCGGTTGACTTTTTGCTAGTTTTTTTACATGATCTGGGAGCGCTTGTTGACGACTGTCCGCACTCCCTCCCTTTTTTTTGCCCGATTTTTGCATGTTTTTGTATGTTTTGAGATTGCACCCCTTTTGCACCCCTCTTGCACCCCTTTTGCACCCCTGTTGCACCCCTCTTGCACCCTTCAGCCGGTTGACTTTTTGCTAGTTTTTTTACATGATCTGGGAGCGCTTGTTGACGACTGTCCGCACTCCCTCCCTTTTTTTTGCCCGATTTTGCATGTTTTTGTATGTTTTGAGATTGCACCCCTTTTGCACCCCTCTTGCACCCCTTTTGCACCCCTCTTGCACCCCTCTTGCACCCCTCTTGCACCCCTCTTGCACCCCCCTCTTTTTGATCAATTTTGCATGTTTTTTTTGCATGACCTGGGAGTGCTTTGTTCACGATTGTCCATGCCGCGGAAGCTATTTTGGCGAGGAAACCTGCTCGGCCCCCCCCCATTTGGTCGGCCCCCTTTGATCGGCCAGAATCCAAGTTCGAGTGAAGATTGTGCTTGCAGTTGTATGGACTTGTATGGATCTTAGGATGACATCTGGCATGAGCCCGGTGAGGAAGAAGCAGAAGAGTTCCAGGCACTTTTTTTTTTCATGTGTTCCGCTCACACCTTCGTGACCATTTGCAGGTCACCGGCATCTACTGAGCCCGCCCCACTGGTGATTCGCGAGGCCGTGAATGTGGAGGCGTTGCGGCAGCTTTGCAGGTTGCGGGCAACCGATGAGCTGCGTTTTCCAGACAACCCGCACACCCTGCGGCGAGAGCTCTTCATTGTGTTGAAACGTCTTGATAGCTCCAATGAGATGCCTGTTGTGTGGCGTGACGGACCGCCCTGCACAAGGGTCGGAAGGAAGGGGCGGAGGTACAGCGGAGTATCTGATGTGGGCCAGCTGCCGAAGGAGCTGCAAAAAGATGTGGAGGACATCATGGAGCGGGTCGGCGCGAGCTGCTGGGATGTGACCAGAGGGCTCTTCACCCTTCCGAGGGAGGTCAGGAACGCGCTCCGTGCGCCAGAGGGGCTGGACGTCGACCAGTCGATGTGCCACTGCTACGCACAGCGGAGCAGACATGCGCCCGAGGACACCCCGAAGCTTCGCCACTACATCGAGAACAGGACCGAATGCGAGGCCTTCTTGGACGACCGCGACCTTGCCAAGGAGCTGTTCCGAGGGCTGATGAATACCGGCGGGGAGCCGTTGATCCGCCGCGTTCTTCACAAGGCAAACAAGACGCTCCAGGACATGCCGAAGTTCGTACTGGAGTTCCAAGCCGAGCAGTCGGCGCTGTTGGGCAAAGACGTAGCGAACCACCCGGAGCTGGCGCGACAGCTGCCCCCTGGCACTTTGCAGAGCGTGCTGAACGAGGAGTACGAGCGGAAGAACACGGACCTCTTGGCCGAGCTCTCGTCTACCTTTGGGCTGGTGAACAGCTACGAGCACGACGGCATCTACTGCCTTGCCATGGCCTCCCAGCACTCTGAGCTCCTTGCAAGGGCCAACGCCATTGTGCCGGTCAAGGGCACTGGACCATGGAGCGTTGAAACGGCAGTGGAGGCACTTCGGCAGCGGTTCCCTTCTCTGTCATGGGATGAGGTTGACGAGCATTGGGAGCTCCAGCAGGACACGTGCACACACATATGCGTTTTTTTTGTTGTAACAGGTTGACACTTTTTTTTTTCTGACGGGTGACTTTGCAGGAGAAATGTATGGAGATCCGCAGAAGATGTTTGCATGGGCAGAAGAACTTCCCGAAGCTCTTGGCCGACGTCGTGCCGTACCACCGACTGGCCTCGGGCTACATGGTGAAGGAAGTGTTCAAGGCAGTGCCCGTGCGGGAGGACAAGATGTGTCTCATGTTCTTCGTGGATGGATGCTGGAGAGACCAGGCTGCAGCTTCTGCCAGTGCTCTTGAGGACATAGTGAGAGACGTGCTCATCAACGCCATTGGCCGCTACAAGGGCGACTTACCAGTGGTGGTGCATCAGATGCATCCTCAGGTGGCCACGGCCCTGCAGCGCATGAACGGAGGGCTCTTCGACATGTCTTGGCACTTGAGTCTTGACGGCGACGACACTCGCCACATCTTCGCATACAATGACGGCACCTTCCAAGACACCAGGGACTACACCTTGAAACCCATGCACCCGGGAATTCCGGTCACTCGGAACGCGGACCGGCCATACCCCGGCGCCCTCATTGCTGAGCTTGAGGCCAAGATGACGGAGGAGGGGCTCAACCTTGCGGAGATCCTCACCAGGGTCAAAACTCAAGAGATGTTCGCTGCGACGCACGTGGAGGAGCCGACGCCCTGCCTGGCGCTTCCTGAGGGCTTTCGGTACAGCCCGGAGCTAGAGCGTGACCTTGACCGGGTAGCTTCGATCCTCCCTTTCTACGAGATCATGGCAAGCTGCCACGAGGACCCGCCCACGACCTTCCACGTGTTGAAAGGTATGGCCAGAGTCAAAGCTGCGCCTGAAAACTTTGAGGAAGCCAGGTTCCACCAGGGCGAAGGTCAGAACGGAAAGGGCTTGATGAATGCCCTCTTTCGTACCTTCTGCGGCGAGTACCACGTCGAGCCCAAAGCCGATGTGTTTTCTGCGTTCTCAGACCCTTCAGGCACCTCCATACCGCTACTTCAGCTACGAGGCCGTCGGTCGATGTCGGTCAACGAAGTGGAAGCTGGAGTGAAGATGAGGAGTGGGATGTTGAAAGATCTCCGAGATCAATCGTCCTTCGTGGAAGCAAGAGGGCTGTACAAGGATCCGGTGCGCTTCCGACCACAATTCATGATGAACTTCTCCAGCAACGCCTCTTTTGAATTTCGTGCGATTGACGGTGGTATGAGGCGCAGCTTCACGGCCATTCCGTGGCCTTTCAAGTTTGTGGCCAGGCCGGCGCCCAACAGCAACGAGAGACAGCTTCGGAACAATCTGAAGCAGCGAGACTTTCTGCTGGCGAATGTGATCCCGTCCATGGAGATCATCCTGAAGGAAGTGGATCTGATGTTCTTGAGAGACAGTGTCAGCACGCTGGTGGAGCCGAGAACGCAGTCGATTCTGGCATGCACCGCCCACCTGTTTGAGTCCTTGCAGCTCCAGGATATCAGGGAGGTCCTCGACTCCATACCGCTCAGCCCCAACGCTGCCCTGGCCAGCTCGCAGGGCGATGTTCGGAAGTTCTTCCGTGACCACGATGCGGTGAAGGGGCTCAAGCTGTCCGGCAAGCAACTTGACAGGCTGCTGCAGGAGGTGCTGGCCCCGAAGACAGTCAGAGGTAAGCGGGTGTATTCGGCAAAGGGGAGCGAGGAGACTTTCCTCAATGTGGCGAACGAGCCACCGTTTTAGGCCAACGTTCCTGAGAACTGGGCATCTTGTGCCACTGTACAGCTGGGCCAACATACCCCCTCGCGCCGCACAGCGCATCTCGAACAGGTGGAACGATGACAAAGACGTGCTGAGATTTGTTTTTGTTTGCCAAACAGACTTGCGTGCCATTGACAGACTTGGAGTTGTGACCCTTTGTGTGGGATCGCCGCAGCTATTTTGTTTCAACATCTAGAGTTGGCACGCCGGAGGCTGACTCTTGTGCTTTTTTTTTCTTTGACTGTGCATGACCTTGCTACGCTCCCGACAGGCCATGTAGATTGTGCGCCCGACGTGGAGGCCCGTGTTCTTCCTGCTGGAGTCTTTTTTTTTTTGAGAGAGCTGGAGAGTCAGGTGGTTTTCAACACGTTTGCTGGCTCGCCCAACCCGTTGGCGCACCGGAGGCTGACTCTTGTGCCTTTTTTTTCTCCTTTTTTTTCCTGTGACAGTCCATGACGCTCCTGACAGGCCACGCAGATCATGCGCCCGATGTGGAGGCCCGCATTCTTGCTGGGGTCTTTTTTGGTCAGTCCGCCCCCAACAAGTTTCCTTTTTTTTGCAGACTCCAGATGATGCTGAGGGTGCGACAGGTGATGTGGCCTGGACTTTTTTTTTTGTGACACTGGCCCGCCCAACGGGTCTGGGGCGGGGATCCCAAATCAAGCAAAAAAACATGCAAAAACGAGCAAAAAAGAGGGGGTGCAAAAGGGGTGCAAGAGGGGTGCAAGAGGGGTGCAAGAGGGGTGCAAAAGGGGTGCAATCCCAAATCACACCAAAAAACATGCAAAATCGAGCAAAATGGAAGGGCGTCGTGGACAATCGCGAACAAGCGATCCAAAACAAAGCAAACAAGAACATACATTATCGAGCAAAAGGGAGGGGGTGCAAACGGGGTGCAAGAGGGGTGCAAAAGGGGTGCAAGAGGGGTGCAAGGGGGGTGCAATCCCACGAGGCCCGCTTTGAGTGCAGAGAGAGTGGACAGGGTTCGTTTTTTTTTTAAAGTACTGGTCCGCCAACCCGCTGGGGGGGTTGATACTGGTCCGCCCAACCCGATTTGGTTTTTTTGAGGACCCCAAACCCTATGTGTTGTTTGGAGACCCAAGAGCCTTCAGCAGGCTTGGGCCTTGAAAACAGGGGTGGGGGGAAAAGATCTTTTTCCCGTACCCTTCCAATCTTGCTCAGTTGGCTGTTCAAGAGTGCGCCTGGCTTTAAGGGAATAAGCTATTCTTCTCGTCCGTATATAGATATACTACAAGAATAGCTTCTTTTTTTTGCACGGTTTGCCCACGCCAGCCCCGCTGGTTTGATTGGTTTCCCAAGCACCCCAAACCCTAAAGGGACATCACGAAATGCTATTCTTCCAGTGCCTACATCAATGTAGGCACTGGAGGAATAGCTTTTGCACGGTTTTTTTTTCATTTGATTGGTTCGCCCAACCCGTTGGTTTCCCGAGCACCCCAAACCCTAACCCAAAAAAAAAAGGAGATGAGCAGGCCCCGGGAATTCCCCTCACCTTGAAGAACGCCTCAAGGCTGTTTCTTTTTTCCAAAAAAAGGGTTTACTGACGTCGTCCGAGAGACTTGGGGTGCTCGTGCAGACTTGTCTTTTTTTTTTTGTCAACCTTCAACCTTGCCTCCACTCCAACCAAATGTTTTGAAGGTGGCTTGCGTGCAGGGGCAAACTCAGGAAAATCAGGATTTTGCTAGGGTTGCCTCTACACCCCAAAAAACATGACTCAAACTACTACAAGTTTCCAGCGCTTTATGCAAAGTTTCCAGCTTGGTCCAAAGTAGCCGTAATCAGTCGAGGGTCCTGGGCCTCGGAGGCCCCAGGAAGTCGTCCAGCTGCCTCACAGCTGCCGGCCGGCCCCGTCTCGTCAGCCGGCCCGCCGCGTTGCCGCTGCCCTGCGGCGCCGGCAGCGCCAGCTTCAGCAGGGTCTCGCGCCCCTCCGTGCTGCGGACGGTCAGGGAGTCCACGGCCCCCAGCTGCTGCACGTCGCCGTACTGAGGGTTGAAGCTCCTCGCCGCGTTCGTCGGCGCTCGGAAGGCGCCCGCGTCCTCCACCGCCGTCACGCGCCGGTCGGTGAGGTCCTTGTTGTGCTGGAACTTGTCGGCGTTGTCTTGGAGGACCCTGAACTCCGTCGCCGGCTGCTTCTCCACGTCCTCGGGCGCGCCGTGCACCGTCTCGTGGGGCCGCGCGTTGTAGGCCGAAGCGGTCTGCTGAAAGTGGTCGCTCCACTGCCCGCCCTTGCGCGCCACCCTCGTGGCCAGGTCCTTCTTCAGCGTCTGGATGCCCCAGTCCACCACGGCGATGGCGTTGCGGTCCTCGGGCCGCTTCGTGCGGTGCACGGCATTTTCGGGCAGCTCCCGGTCCAGCGTGGCGAACTCGTTGCCCAGGTCCGTCGTGACCACGAAGTTCCCGTCGTCCCCCGTCAGCTCCTTTGCGGCGCGCTTGGTGGCGCGGCCCACCTGTTCTGCAGAGGTTCCACGGCGGCCTCCCGGGTGAAGACGTCCATCACCACCAGGCCGTACTTCGTCTTCCCCCGCGTGTTCTGGCTGAAGTCGATGAGGTCGGCCTGCAGCCGGTCGTTGGGCCCCTCGGCGGCCGACTTGCCCAGCGCGCGCGGCCGGGGCGCCTGCACCTGCCGGCCCACGTCGGCCCTCAGCGCCTCGAAGGCCATGGCCTGCGTCACGTCGAGGTCGCGCTGCCGTGCGAGTCGGTACAGCTTCCGCGGGTCCCTCACGTTGAAGTCGTCGGCCAGGTCTCTCAGCGCCTCCATTTAGCTTTGCCCCAAAAAGGAGCTTGAGCAAGGTTCCGCGGATGCGAGGAGGCCTGCTCACACCTACTGTGTTGCCCCAAAAAGGGGCTATTCAAGGTTCCTCTAGAACGAGGAGGCCTGAAGACAGTTTTTTCTACTCGTTCTTCGGCCCCCGCTGGGCCTGCCAGGCTTCCACCTTGTCCAGCCGGGCCTGGAAGCCCTTGCACACCCCCCACAGCACGCTGGTGAGGTGAGAGTAGTCGAGAGTAACCATCTCCGTGCCGTCGCTCCACCGCGTGGTCCCCGTCAAATTCTTCCACTTTGGTCCTGCGAAGTCGTCCGAGGCGAAGCCCAGCCTTAGGTCCCCGTTCATGTCCGGGCGCTTGTACTGCTTGGCCTCCACGGAGTCAAACAGCTGCATGAGCTCCGTCACGTCGGCCTTGGCAATCTCCGTCTTCACCCGGCTGTCGGACAAGTCCGTGAAGCTCGTGTTGCAGACCACGTTGCCCGTGTTGCCCGCGATCACGAGACAGCCGGGGTTCCTCTGGTTCGTGGTCAGGGACAGCTGCGTGGAGAGGCTCTTCGTCTGCACCAGCGCTTCGTCGTTGATCATGATGAGCTCGCACTGGTGCGCCCCGCCGTCCCGCTCCAGGAAGACCCTGGCGCTCTGGTTGCCCAGCAGCCGCAGCTCCGGACCGCTGTCGGGGGCCGCGCTGTTGTTGGACACCTGCAGCTTGCTCCAGCCCGCCCAGTTCTTCGTCAGGACGAGATCGTCCGAGAAGTCTGAGGTGTTGGTCACGGTGAGCGTGTTGGAGGCGAAGAGCTGCGGAGCGGAGACCGTGCCCGAGCTCGTCACGTCGCCGCAGACCACGCTGCCCGTCGACACTCCGCCGATCGTGGCCGTGAAGGTGCAGTCCAGGCTCTCGCAGTCCAGCGGGCCCGCGGACGCCGCCCCGGTGATCGTCAGCGTGGCGCCCGTGACCGCCCCGGTGGCTGCGAAGCTCGCCGCAGTTGCTGCGCCCGAGGCCGTCAATGTCCCCGTGGACACGTCGCCCACCGTGGTGAAGTTCCCGGCGTTGGCCGTGTTGTTGATGGTCAACGTGCTGCCCGTGATTCCCGTGGCGGAGCTCAGCAGGCCCACGCTGGCCGCGCCGGTGATGCTCAGCGAGCTGCCTGACACGGCCCCTGTGGACGTCAGCGTGGCCCCGGCGACGGTGCCTGTGGCTGTGAGCGCAGCGCAGGAGACTGCTCCCGAGGCGTCCACGCCCGTCGTGAAAACGTCCGTGCAGTTCACGTCGTTGCTCAGCAGCTGGTCGCAGCCCACGTTGCCCTGCGCGGTGAGCCCGTCCAGCGTGGCCGAGCCCGTGAGGGCCAGCGAGTCCGCCAGCAGGTCCGTTACCGAGACAGACTCTCCCTCGAAGGCGCTGGCCCTGATCTGCATGCTGTACAGGTCCAGCGTGCCCGCCGACTGCTGCACCAGCCCGGGGAAAGAGCCGCCGAAGGCTCCGAAGTGCAGCTTCGCGATTCCGCCCGGCGGCACCGAGAAGTCCAGGCGCGCCGTGCTCCAGACGCCCTGCGAGGGCGTTCCGAGGAAGGTGCCGGTGACGCCCACGTAGTCGTTGTCGGCCGCGCTGACGTACATCACCAAGTTGGAGGCCGTGCCCAGCCTGTACCGGCAGCCGAAGGAGTAGCTTCTCCCCGGCGTCAGCGTGTAGGTGCGCACGATGTTCCAGGCGAAGGCGCTCAGGGTCATGGCGTAGCCCTCCAGCTGGAAGCCTCCCACCGCGAAGCTGGCCGAGGCCACGGAGCTCTGGCTGTTGGAGCGCACCAGGAAATTTCCTAGCGTGGTGAGCGTGGGCTCCAGCAGCACCTCGCCCAGTGTGGCCAGCGTGACGTCGTCGGCCCCTCCGTCGAGGAACTCGTGCTTCAGCAGCAGCGCCGAGGCCGCCGTGTCCTCCTCCGCCTCCGCCGCGTTGCCGGTCTCCAGGGGTGCGTCCAGGATCTGGAGGCCGTAAACGTCCACCGTTCCAGCAGTCTGGTTGGGCAGGCCCGGCGCCTGGAAGTGCGCGCCGAAGTGCAGCTTCGCCACTCCGTTGGGCGGCACTGTGAAGTACATCTTGGCCGTGCTCCAGGCGCCCTGGTCGCCCGCGAAGCTGCCGTACAATGGGTCGTAGACGTTGTCTGCCTCGGACATGTACACCACGAAGTTGGAGGCCGTGCCAAG